CGTACAGCTGTTATTGGCCTCTTCGCCCAGCTGCCCGCCACGGCCCAGTACGTGCTGAGCACCCCAGGCTCCGCCTGGGTGCGAAACGGGTGCGACGACAATGATGTCGAGGCCAATCCAGGTCCGGTTCGCACCCCGTTGAGCATGTCTGGGGTCGCTGCCGACTGTGGCTACTCAGACTGCTTTCCTCAGAATTTCCAGCAGCGGTCGTATGCACAATTTAATGCGGAGGAAGCGTGGTGTGCCAACATAAAAATAGCTTTTTTGTTGTTGTTAGTGTACTGCAGTGATTTTACCAGTTTACATGTGGTTCTCAACAAATTCCGCTTTTTGTGTGAGTCCTTGCAACGAGACATTAGTTTTTATTTTTGCTAACATATCCATGTATGAATGTGTGCGTTCTACGCACTGATTATACTCATCAACTTAAAAAAGCTAGTTTTGCACATAATTCATGCGCTGTACGATGTAGTTCTGCCATATACAGCTGCTACAAAACAGAAAAACACAGTTCTTTTGCATCAGCACCTTCATTACACTGCTCAACAATAGCTTGCCATATTTTCCAAGGTCGATCTGGTAAGTCCTAGCACCAATACCAGACAAGCCATTGGTAATTCAAAAGGAGCCTAACAATGCCTTTCGGTTTGCGAGTTCGTGTGCATGCCATTCAGAGTGAAAAGCACTCCGACGAACTTTCCGTGATCTGTGGACCAGGTGTAACAAGGACTTCCATTCCGTTATGCCTACATTCACCATATTCTCGTTGTACTGATGGCATCTTCATATTCTAGTAGCTCTTTTTAACCTGAGTGTCGTCATGCACTCCACAAAAAGAAGAGGTGCAGCAGATTAGTAACCATCCGAATGTTTAGCTACTTACCTACAGACTTATTTTTAATGTTGAAGCAGATTACAGTCATGCTGAGGTGCTGGGACAAGAAGTTAACTGGACAAGCTCTCCGAGCACTTACTCTCAACGCTCTTCATACAACTCAACTTCTGATGCCATGCTTCAACATGCATAAACCCTGTCCTAGAAAAAGAAATCTCTAAGGTGCCAATTTCCCGCACAGCTGGATCCGAACCGCAGCAGAACACCCTTTAGTCCAGGGTACCGTCCTAGGTCATACCGTTACTGCTGTGGCCGAGGATCAGTTGTAACCATGGTGCCACCTGCTCAGCGACCATGGTGAGGGATACAAGGATTCAGCGTCTGGCTGCTCCTCTTCAAGTGTCATCGTTTTGCACGCCATCTTACACTGATGACAAGTTTCCATATCAAAGTCATATAAAGACCTGATTGTCTCCTTAGTTAGGAATGCAAAGAGTGCAGAAACTTGTTCCAGTTGGGGAGAAAGAGAGGAAGCAGCCAGCACTTGGTTGTATGGGCTTCTGCCTTTTGGCTGCCTCAGGCACTCGGCTGTGTGGAAGTTGTGCCATTAAACACCTTGAACCTGGAACCTTACTGCATATGAACAATTTATTGATTACAGTGTGACTGCTGGAGATAATTTTTGCTCACTAAACAAGGGAAACTGCTGTTCTTGCAGCTCCTGCCATGGAGCTAATCAAAACCCTCATGATCTTGAAGGACTTCGCAACTTGTCTTGTCGAGGAATTATGGTATGGAACTTCTGCCGATCTCTTAAGACCCCAGCTCTCAACAGAACTTTCTTTGCTTTCCGATGGGGGAGTAGACAGGGGCGGGGAGCCACTGCCGCCCTTGTTGCCTTCATAAAACTAACACGCCTGTTTAGCAGGAGGCTCCAGCGGTTCTGACATAAATATATAATCTTCAATTTGATGAACACACACAAAGCATCACAAAATGCTGGCAGAGCAGTTTTCAACAGATGAAGCCATGTAGAAACTCAACTTATTGGGCAAACTTCACCTCAGCATTACTGGACATACTGAAGGATGCGCTCTGGCACATAATGCGCGTGCCCACAGCTGCCTTCAGAGTGGTGCAACCAGTCCATGCCACATGCAAATCAGAAATTCAGAGCCCACATCTATTGTGCACATGCATGATGGAGTGGTGCATGTGAGCAGCTCACTAGCTATCTAGTAGTTTCAGTGATGGCACAGCTTGGGCTCGCCACGATGCGTGCTTTGTTTTGGAATGTGGCACTTTTTTTCAATTTTTTTAACACTGACCAATCGAAGCTGTATGTTCTTGGTTGGGCTACTGTTATATTTATTTTGCTTCTTTTTTTTTTGAGTTTGTGAATTTCAGTAGGTACAGTTTTTTTTTATATTATTAAGGTTTAATGGTACTTTATAGTAAATTAGCTTCATGTCGAGCTGTAATTACAATATTTAATCAATGGTGTCCCCAAACTTAGAGGTTACCTGCATTTGCTAACTTCTAAAGTTGTGAAATAAACTATGATATACGGTAGTCAGCATTGAAATACAATAGGTTGCTCAAACTAATTAAATATTAAGAACGTTCCTAACATATTGTATACCAATTGGACGAATGCCCCCCGATATCCCCCGAATGTCTCCGATGTCGGAGGCCCCAATCTAAAAATTGGGGGCCTCCGATATCGAAGACATCTGATCTGTGGGAGAAGGGTCGGAGAAGGACGTTCCAGAGAAATCCTGGACGCACTTGAGGTAGCGTCGTACATCTACGCGAATTACGGTTTAGAACAGTTGTTGCTCGTGAGGCTGCTTTGTTCTTATCCGTTCGTGGTTGAGTCTCAGAGAGAGGACATTGAATAAGTTTTTAAGAACTCCTATGTTCTCTTTCAAATCTCTTCTCAAAAGGCAGTATGGCCTCATTCTCCGTGGGAAGGGGAATGCCGTCGAACTTAGAACAGTGGAGGGCCGAGATGCGGCCAGGCTTGACGATGACCCGTTTGCTACTGTCATGTGGGCTGTCCGGCACCGTCTGGTAGAGTCCACGCGTATTAGCACTCGGCGCTTTCCACTGACTCCCCTTTGCACCAACAATCTGACTGGCATCATAGACCTGCAAGGATCATGGGAAGATGATCTGTTTGCTAAGCGTGTCGAGGCACTTGAGGCAGAGCAGGACCCGCTCATCAGGGACCTGCTGGAGGCCAGAGCGGCTTGGGTTGCCGACCCGAGCCTCATTAACCCTATGGCCTTGTCCACCACTATAACTCGTGCCTTTGGCACTCACAGAGTGCGTCGTGTCTTTCCGGATCTACCAGACCCAGTCCTGGCCGATATCTCGGTTGACGACTTCTTTGCTGGCAAACGCGGGTCCGTGACGCTGCCAGACATTGGGGAGGCCAAGGAAGGTCTTCGCGCGACCTTGTCGGCAGTGGCCACGCAGCGGGGTCTGGCAGTGACGTGGAAGGGAGATCAACTTGAGGTGGTCGGGACCTTCGACTCGTTTAAATGTATCAACGGTCCCACCGTTGACATACCAGACTTCCCGGCCGAGTGGGTACAGCAGACTCGACGTCATAGCGAGACTGTCGGAGTCTCGCGGTCGAGAGGAGCCCTAAGCCGCCGCCGCGGGCCCCATTCGTTTGGGACCCGTTGCTCCGGCTGGTGCAGACGGCGGGGAAACATCAGGAGGGGGGCTGCCCGATCCTGCCCTTGTCGTTCAATGTCAGGGATCTTGTCGCCAAAGATCATAACTCGCTCTCTCCGGCGGAGAGCCTCAAATTCCGAGGAGGCGAAGACGGTGAGGCCGCCTGGCTGGTTCTCCCGAAGAGCAGAAGGAGAAGTTTTCAAAGGCGTTTCCGATGGGCTATTCCCGGACGGCTGAGGAGGTGGCCCTAGCTGCCATGGCCTGCCTTAAGCGGATCGGGGGCAATATCATACCCCCCGATCTCCTCGTGCCTGTCACTCCTGGCCCAGCGGGGTGCTTGGTCCCTTCGTATGTCGGTGTGGACCAAGAGGGTCGGCGGATAGTCGGCCGGACACCGGGATGGGGTTGGGGGCGATGGCGCGGCCGCGCCGGTGTCTAGGTGAACGAAGGAAGTCGGGCCCAAGGTAGCCATACGTGGTGCGCGTCGGGCTGTCCGGGGGGCCTTGCTGAGAGGGGGTTCGCGGAGAGCAGGTTTAGCCTGGTGGCCTTCGTTGACCTAGCCAGAGGGGAGACTAACCGTCACGTGCCCGGGGCGTCCCCGGCCGTAGCACCCGCCGTTCATATAAAGCTAACGCTGCCTGGTCGGAGTTCGGGTGTCAAAGCCGGTGGCGCTTCGGCCGCATTCGGAGCCCCCCTATGTCCTTATCCATGGATGCGACCTCACGCCTTCAAAACTGAAAACCGGACATGATCTCAAGTTTCAAGTTAAGAACTTCCATTCATCCTACCCCTAAGGCTAGTCTATATAGAGCTATGACTTTCATCGCTATGGGCAGGAGCCAGCTGAGTTTGTATTGCTTGGAAGGTGGAGGGGTGATGTGCTAGGGAGCTAAACCCCGTCCCTGTCTCCCATATTGTCTGCTATAATAGTTTAAAATGTCAGTCAGAGAGAAGCGGGAGGGCGAGGCAATTGCCCCCCTTGCCTTGCCCTCTTCTTCCGATGCCACTAATAGGGTATGCAAACTTGGGGATTCCCTGCCATAAATAAATGCAACCCCTTATGGCTGCCACTGCATACAAAGGAAAAAAAGAGAGATGTGGTTCATTTTTCTCTTAGATGTTCATATCAGAGGGGATACAAACAGTCGTGGGTAGTTGCGGCTGAGTGAGCCAGCAGTGAGTGCTGCCTAAGTGTTCGATTCGGACTCTCGTTTAATCGGCAAGAAAACAAGTACCAGACAACTATTGGAACGTATCCTGTGAATGGCTCCTGGGATTTTCGCAAATGGTCTCTTGTCTTACAAATGAATGCACTCCTATTAACTAAGGGCACTTAGCGAGCTATATATCCGAGGGTAAAAGACTAAAAACAATGGAAAAGTAACAGAAACCAACAACACTTCTACTTGTTCATTGTTTTTAGCGCTTTTTCCCTCGGAAATATGGATCACCAACTAGCCCAAGTGCATACCCTTCTACACTTAGTGAGTTGCTTCCTCCCTTCTCATACTGCTGAGTCTACATTTAAGCATTCATTCTTCACAGGAGGACCGACACGACAGATTGACCTATCCGGTGATGCGAATTGACAAAGAGGACTCAAAGGCCATAACTGCGGTGTTGGAGAACCACTTATTTGAGGTGACGGACGGATTGGGCACTTCATTGATTTGAAGTACGATATAAAGTCTGCCTTGGCTTTGGATCTCATCACAAAGTAAGAAACTTGTTCACCAGAGGGAATATGTGTGCCATTTTTGCCTTTTTTTCCCATGTCCTAACATTAAAGTGTTGGCTTATTGAGCTCTATTCTACTTTTTTTATCCTTTCTATGCTGACTTTTCATGAAAACCTATGGCCTCCGAACAGGCTCATGCTCCCTCTTTTATGTCCTTTTTCAGCTGCACTTCCACATTTCCAATGCAACCCTCCCCTTGTGAACATATACATAGCTGCCTTTAGATTTTAGGGCTACTGTTCATTGCAAAGTGCTTGAGTTGTCTCAAGTTGTATGTAGCAGCTCCCATAATAAGGACAGAAGTACTATTCCACATTACAGAGAAATCAAGGGAGGTATTGAAATTTGATACAACAGCTGCAAAAATAAAAGTACAGTGGTCGCACTTCAACAGGCTAAAAATGCCACTTGCCAGTAGAGTTTTTTTTGTTTCAGCAAACGTTTGACTAACAAGGAGCCAATTGTACACTTCCCTTCCCCTAATTCTGTTAGCAGGCATTTACGTTACTTTTTACTGGGTGATTTTACACTCAGCACATAACACTATACTTGAGCAGAGTTCGTGTGAACCCTTCCTGGAAAGTGTGCTTAACTGTTTAATACTGAGTTTAGGCAACACTTCCAAATGGGGTTGTACTTACTCTACAAAATTCTTTAGTGCGAGTAATTAAATCCCCACTTCAAGTGTTGCCTAACTCTGTATGAAAGAGTAAAGCAGTCTCCAGGAAGGGATCATATAAACTGCTAAGTTTTCTGTTATGTAATATTAATTCTTGCTATAGAGCACACTAAACTTTTTAATACGGAGTGCAGGCACCACTTCTAAGGTTACAATAACTCTTCCTGGAGAGCGTGCTTAACTCTTTAGTACAGAGTTCAGGCAACACTTTTTCTTACATACGACAGACTGGTTGTCGCTTAAACAATTGTATTTAGGAGCAAAAAAGGGCAGTTAAAATAATGCATCAAACTCTGAAATTCAAAACCTGTAGACAGTCCTGACTCTTGCAAAACCATTTGTGTGACTATAGAAAAGTTAAGTGAGCACTCGTATGGGAGAGTAAAACATACACTAGTCGTGGAAAGGTAACGATTACCTATCCCTAGCAGGGATAGGCGGTATTTCAAATACAAGTAATTGAAATATGTATTTCAAATACTTTGTGTATTTTGAATTTCTATTTAATTACAAATTGGGTAATGCATTTGACATGTGTATTTAAATACTAAAAGGTGGGTATTTCAAATACAATTGTAATTAAATACAATTTTGTGGGCGAAAATACATCCCTCAAATTTATTGGCACTGTCCAGAGCAGAAAGAAAACTACGTTCTGCACCGAATGCAGTGTCTCTTAATCAAGCACAAGCGTTTAGTGACTTTGTGATTACGGTGCTAGTCCAGGGCAAGAATAGTGATGAAATCGACGTTCACAGGCAGACTGGCTAAATAAGCGCCTGTGACAACTTGTGATGCTTTCCAGCCTGATTTCCATCCATAATTTTGCCTGGAACATTCTAAATGCGCGTGTCGTCCAGATTTTCGTTAACTGGTGCGAGTTGCAACAATAAAAAATTCTTTAGCTAGTGCTCCGTGTCTTGGTCGTCTCGGTTCTTTGTTGGTATATACCAACATGTAATCGACAAAAAAAGCTGCTTGAGGCTCTGTACTTTTTCACCTATTACGTCCAAGCTGATTACATTTTTTGTGATTATATTTCTATTACGTTACTAGAGCCTCGCAAACTTACTCCAGAGTGTGCGTAGAGATACGTAGAAACCCGTTGCAGGTGCCCTGAAGTCGCTCTCACAAATTTTGAGGAATGTATTTAGAAAAGTATTTGGAAGAGAACAAATACATTTGGTTGTATATGTATCTTGTATTTAAATGCTTTTTGTAGCGTGAGCTACACTGGCCGAAATTGAGCAGTTTCGCGTGGCTGGCATAATGAGCCATGCTCCGTGCTGCGCAAGTGCGAGGAGCAGTGACGTCGCACGGCGCACAGCTGGCGGGGCGGAGGCCAAGTCGCCGCGGGATCCGCCGCCACCGCGCTCGCCTCGCCAGTCTTCGCATTCCAGAGGAGTGACGTCACAGCCACGGCAGACGCACTGGCGGCGCCGCGTGCCCAGCTATGTGCCTCCGTTGCGCAGTAGCCAAGTCTGACGCTGCACCGGAGCTGCTTGATAGCACCTCTCATTTTATGCGCCTAAGCTCACGCTGCGTATATCCTGGCATAGCCGAGCTAAGCCACCGCAATTTTTTAAAATGTAATTAGACTCGTAATTAAATACATTTTTGACGAAGTATTTTTGTATTTGTATTTTGATACATATTTGCATGTATTTTTCATATTCCTAGTCCCTAGAGAGAGTATAGCTTGCGATAACCCGGATTCTCTCCAAAAAGAGTACAGTCAACACCCGTCCATTCCTTTTTTAATTATTTTTTTAAGAGTATAGAGTTAACATAATAATCCGAAACGAAAGGTCCCCTGCGTTTGGCCGCTTCGAAATGGCGGAACATAGAAGCGGAGATCGGCGGTCCCAGTTCGCGATTTCGATGAGCCCTATCGCTGCCGAAGCCTTTATATGCACCAAGATGCAGCCAAACATCACCAGTAAAGTCTTTACCTTGTTATTTTCTGTCTTTGCAGAAGAACACAGGAGTCGCGCAGTGATAAATTTAAATAAACCTGACAAGTGCTCGAGCAACTTCAACTTGTCGCGGCAAAACGAACACGCCTAACTTTTTGTTTGCTTTATTTCTCTGCCTTTTTTCGCTCTTTCTCTCGGGACTGGAGATGTTAGCGCCCAGGACTTGCCGTGTTCTACTCCTGTCTTTACCCGCCTGGTTGAGGTTGTGCCGGCGTGTCCGTTGGGAGCCATTCATAATGTCGGCAAACCGATTGCTCGAGCGTCGCCTTGTCCTGGTTCCTAATGATTTCCGGAATTCTAGAACAACCAATATTGCTGGCCGTGGCTCCGTTGACACCAAGTTTTACGGCTAAAACAATCACAGAGCAACTGACTGTCTTCAACCTCGAGTGGGTGCACAAAGTACCATGCAGACAAGGCCCCAAAGGACACAAAACATAGGATAACAGCAATGAATGCCTCCCACATGGATTCCAGTGGGTTTTGATCAGATCCACGAAGAGGTAGCAGCATTGAACCATGGTATTGTGCAACAACCCTATACTGGTAACAAGTTACTGCTCCGTTCTAATTTACAACCAACTGTCTTTGACACTTTCAATCCAATCCGAGATCCAATCCGCTGTCACTCCGTGCGTGTCGCCAGCATTGCTCGCCTTGGCTGCTCTGGTTTCTCACTTTCGCTTGTTCCTTCGATAGCTTCTTGCCAACCAGTCGTTCCACTACCACCTAGAGGTTAAAAACTAATTCGTAGTGTTCACAATCATCTACGGGTGCATAAAGTACATGAAAGGCGGGAAACGGGCCATTTTGCCATTTTCTCTCATCCTGAGGTTCGCGCCGAAGTCGACCGAGGACCTCACTCCTACTTTTGTGAAAGCATACTAGTAAAAGCCAAGTGAAGAAAAGGAAGGCTAATAAGATGCCAATGTGATCCAACCTGGCAGTAAGTATAGGGTGACTGAAATAACCAGGCTCGATCTAAAATGGGCCATAAAAATTGGCGCCTGCACATAGCAATCTGAACTTTGTGTCAGAGGTATATTTCACAGGTTGGTTTTTGTAAAATTACAAAGCGTAGCTCCCTTTCTGCAAAACATAGGGCTAAAAAACTTGCAAGGGTAAACAACGGATGGCGACGTAAACGACCAAGTCGAGCGGCGAGGCGCGTTTGGCGTCCGGTTTTCCGCAGCTCGCCAAGGCCTGGCTTCAAGACGCGCCCGCCGCAGCTCGCAAGACTCCCTGACTACTACAAGATCATCATCCGTGCACGTGGTGGCCTCAACCTAAGCTCGATGAGCACAGGCAAGCTGCAAGACTTCGTCTTTAACACTGCCCAGACCAATTACAACGTGGCACGCGATGATAAAATTCGAATCAATGCCATTCAAAACTATACTACTCAGCACCCCCTCTGAAGGGCGAAGAGAACTATTTTCTGGCCACATATATGGCAAATCCTGCGAAGATCTCACGCGGAATCATCTTTAATGTGCCAGATTACGGTCCACCGGAGAACATCAGCCAATACCTAATCGACTGCAATCACGACCCGGCTATTCTCCTTGCCCGTCGGATGTCTCTCATCACCGCCCCTCTCTACGGCAAAAGGTCCAAACCCTACGGCAAAAGGTCCAAACTCTACGGCAAAAGGTCCAAACCCTCACACAATAAATCACTGCCGTTTAGAAGGAAAATGCAGACTTACGACCCCTCCTTAAACAGAAAGGTTACCCCTCCAGCGCCAACTCCTACCCCTCCAGCGCCCACTCCTACTCCTCCCCCACAACCCGTTGCAGTTGCCATATCCTCACCTGACAGCACCGCCCAGTCTGTCAAGCGTAGAGTAATCAATACTATGGCCTCAAAATCGTAGACAAATTACACCGACTCAGCGTCAATGACCGAAATGTCTCGCATTTTCAGTGCCAGACTGCAAACCTTAGAGCAAAACGTTACAGCCGTTGTACGGCGATAGAAAACGCTGTCTCAAAGTACTCCTCCAGATTGGCCCAACTCACCAGTCAAATAAACCAACTCACCAACATCTCATCCCAGTTGGGGCCCTAAACTCCTCCACCACCCCCACCATCCATACCCTACCTCTAACAGTGCATCCCTCAATATGGCTTTACCTCTCCCACGCCCGCCACGCCTCAGTAGGCACCAAACCACTATCTGGCAATGGAATTACCACAGCTTCCGACTGAAGCGTGGCTATCTTTAACACTGCCTCCAGTCCCTCCAAACTCCCCCCGATATCATATTGATTCAGAAAACCCGCCGCGCGGTCAAACTAGCCATCTATAGAGCCTTCCAAACTC